GTGTGTAACACACATTATGTTACAAGGCAATAAATGCTATAAAAAGAGAAATAAGAGAGGACTATAAGAAGGTTTTGGGGAAGCATGCAATTTTAATACTATGAAAAGCTATCTTTTGAGCAAAGGTTGAAGTCATCATGTTGTCCTTGATATGAACAGTAAGAATGAAAGCCTGAAAGCCTACAACTAAGAGAACATGAGGGGAATGAACTGGAAGCATCAAGTATAGATGACCCTTCAAAGCAATTTTGATGCAATGCGGTGCATCAAAAGGAGGCAAGATAAGATTCTGTTTGTTTAAAATGGGAGAAATAGAAGCTGATAGTAATAATCCGGAAGAAGGGGAAATTGAAGATGTTGGAGAAGGTATGGGATCTAGGGTGCAAATAAGGGGATTGGCTTCAGATATGTGCAGGGCTAGGCCACCTACGGTACCAGACTGCATAACATTGCCAATGGATTCAGGTGGTGATGTGGTAGGTGAGTGGGTGTGGTGGTCAATATGGTCCTTCTCTGAATTCTTCTTCAAATGAGATCATTGGAAAAGAGTGAAAATATGAAGGAAATGGTATGGGTTCAAGTGAAGAATAAAAGTTGTATAATAGCTATACAAGTAGCTATACAAGTATAGAGAATACTTGGATAAGGAAAGTATGGTATTGTCTAGAAGCAGTGAGGGTGTGACCATGGATATAAAGTGAGACCATCTTTGCGGTTGTGTTTTCACTCCAGCCTTATTCCGCTCATGGGTGAGACCTGAAGTACGTAGAAAGTTTGATTTAATCAGGATGTGGGGTTTTTTCCAAATGAGAACAATGCAGCAATATATATGCAATGCAAGGAGTGTTTAAATTGCTTGGCATGCAATAAAATTGGGAAAGAAGGAGAGAGAGGATGAGGGACAGTGAAGAGGAGGTAGGATCAATGGGTTAAAAGATCCAGTATGGTTGGAGTTGGAATTCTCCAGATCTGAACTGGAAGGAAAAAAGGTGATGGCCAGTCAATGGGGCGCATGGGACTGAGATTTCAGAGTGATTGCTGGATGCAGCTATTGGCAATGACAAGGTCTAGAGTGAGTCCAAAGGCAAGAGTATGCAAGATATGCTCATCTAACAAAACGAAGTTCCTGACACAACCTTCTCTAACCCACTCTGGTAAATTCATGTGCTTTACTCTGCATTTTCATCATGACCTGTGAATATGCATTGTGTATCATCACCATCATCACCATCATCATGTTAGGTGGAGCCACATAAAATTGCCAATACTTGAATTTCATTGCCTGTAAAAAAGTGTTTTATATGGCTTAACCTAATTTATTTTTCTCTAGTCAGAGCTTCATGAGGGTAGGAACCATGTTATATTTGTCTTTATATTCCTATCACTTACCATGGTGTCTCTGTTATAACAGATTTATTAAATGTTTCTGGATAAATAAATAAAATCCTGTAACAAAGAGCCACACACAAAAGTTTGAAGGTACCATATGTCATATTTTAGTGGATGGAGTTTTTGACAGCATATGGGCACTTTAATGGAAAAATGACAGTGCTTTCTGGACACATGTCACCGACCAGCGAGTGGTGTGATGGGTTCCTTAATTCAAGCAGGACTTGTGTTCTGAATTTTCACATGAGTAGTGATTCACGGGATCTTGCCAGCACCTGGAACCAGTTGCAGCCAGTGTTTCTCATATCGGGCATGCATGTAGAATGGAGGATTTGTGAGTGCACAGCAGCAGCAACGCTCTTTTTACACAGTTGTAGGTACAATGCAGATGGAATAAAATTGGACATTCTTGTTTCTACATTTACAGACATATTTATTTCATTTGTAGACATGTTTCCTGGAATATAAGATACAGGCTTAGACTTATTCAAATATATAAATGACATTTTTTTCTGTGAAACAAGTCAGTTGGTTCCCTCCTCACACCATGATAACACATCATAACTCCTGGATTCTCCCTGAGGTCCTGAGCGGGACCTGGAGTCCCGGAGCACCTGCTGTGGCTGGGCAGTGATGGGCTCTTTACAACCACCGTTTTGAGAGGCAGGAAAGGGCAGGTAAGCAATGCTCAAACCTTTCTCCACCTGTCTTCATTGGTTAAATGTGGATGAATAGTAGTTCCCACTTCCTCAGGCTGCAGTGACTGTCTCATGGGTTAGAACTTGGACAGTATTTAGAAGCACCTGGTTCCTCCCTACAGATCACTGAACAATTGCTCTCAGGGAGATGCTACCTATTGCTTTTATGTATTAATTCATTTAATCGTTGCTAAGTCCTTTTCTTCATTTACAGGTAAGAAAATAGAGCTTATGAAAGTTAAATATTCACGATCTTAAAAACTAATGTGTTCCTGTCAGCCCCTTCTTAAAATCCTGCTGTGCTTCTTACACTTTTCAGATATATTCTTTCATGATCTGGCCTCTGCTCTCTCTCCAGTCTCACCTTCTGCTCTTCTACCCACCATTGACTGTTGATCAGGCAGAATTCCTGACACTGTCATATAGTTTCAGGACCCTGGAAATATATTTTCCCATGGTTGTCCCCTCACCAGTGGCTGTCATTGTCTAAGTAATTTCTACTTATACTTTAGAGCTCAACTTGGGCATCACCCCCTCCAGGAAGCCCTCCAGAACCTAACTCAACGTCTGACTGTGAACATTATCCTCTCAGTCCCAGAGAACCTTGTTTCTCATCCTCTTATGATATTCATCACAGTCTACTGTGGTCACAGGAGTGCACACCCAGGTCCCTCGATGAAAGTGGAAGGACTTTAAGGATATGACCTGTGCCTTATTTGTCTTTGTAGCCACAGCACCCAGCATCATGCTAAGAACTGTGCATGACAGCAAGAAATGCCTCCTGACATAAGTGAGTTCATGGGAAAGCCTGTCACCTTTGACATCACGTAGACCTAAAGGTTAATATCATTCCCATACCTTAGTAGTTGAATGAACCAGGTTTATTAAGTTCTTAAAATCACAACTTCTTCATTTCTAAAATGAAGATAACAGTATCTTTTATACAGAAATGTTGTAAGGATTAAATAAGACAATGAACTTAAATGTCTTACTCATAGCTTGGTGCATAGTAATCACTGAATAAATGATATTATTGTTATGATCACTATTTTCAAACCCAGGATTCAAACCCTAGTCTGATTCCAGAGTTGATGTTCTTTCTCTACTACTACCCAAAAGTCTCTCCTTAAAAGCAAGCTAGACACACAGAAAGCACATGCATCAGTGGGTCTCAAGAGTACAATTTAGGGCCTTACTATGTGAAATTGGATGACTAGTGCCCTTTTAATGTTCTAATTACTCAGAAATGTCCAAAATCTACACCAGGAGGTTTTTTTTTTTTCCTAATAGGAAAACTGTATTATCTCTGCCCATATGCAGAATACCTGGACTTAATAATATGTATCTCTGAACAATTTAAAAATATGTAATAACCCAAAGTATTACAGAATACATGTTATACAAATATATAATGTATAATGCTTTACATTTTTCGCTAATGTTGCAGTGTGTAAAACGCCTAGACTTCAAATACACTTCTAGTTCTGGCCTTATCTATCACCAGGCAAGAGCATTTATGTTGTAATTTCAGCAATATGAGAATGCCCCCTTCCTAAAATAAACCCAACTCTCCCTCAATACATACACATATCTGCTGAAACGTCCAAAGATTAATTACTGAAATTTGAGGCTCTAATATTTGTAACATGCAGATCACCCTGGGAAGAGAAGACGTACTTATTGTTAGCCATTTGCTAGGTGTGAGTGACTTTCAGATCCTTCCATTAAAATAGGTTGTGTCTAGGTAGGCGCTGCAGGAGACCGTGAAGATGCTGTGGCCCTGAGGGAGAAAACACAGGAGCAAGTAAATGGCAAAGGGGAAGTTCAGGTTTTGTAGGTGATACGCGTGGTTCCAAGTAGAATTTCACTTCAACGTAAACTTCTAAATATTCTTAATTTACCGCTATAGACTTTCTTTTGATTTTATAGCACTGGTACCCATGTTAAATAATTAGCATTATTATAAATACTCTGTAAATGCTCTTTTTAAAAAAGGTGACAAAGCTGACTAAGAAGTGCCTGCCTCGCTCACTAGCGCACGGCATGCATATTTGAGTGTGAGTATGGGTGTATGCACACACACGTCTCACGCATAATTACTTTACCCTTTCCTGTGACCCACACTGAGACCTCTGTTATTCTTCTATCTGAGTCGCAGTCCCAGACCAGGCCCACAGTAGCTTACTCCGAGTGTCAAGTATCACACTAGCAGGGCACACAGGCGTCTTCTCCCCAGTCCCCGCTGCCCCGCAACGCACCCCCCCCGCCCCCTGCATTCCACAGGCATTGGGACCCACCCCTCTTTCTCCATCTGTCTTCCCTGATACTCTTCCGCTATCCTGGCGGGCAGGATGCTTTCGGCCATCGCCGCTTGGTGGGGGAAATGCCCCTTGACTAGAAACATATCCCATATGCTCAGAGATTCAGCCTCTAACAAACTCATATTCATATTTTGCTTGTAGATCCCTAAAAAAGTAAAATATAAGTACCCTGAGGACAGAGATGAAAGCTTTTAATCTGGGTATTCTCCACAGTTGCTAGCACAATGTCCTGAACATATTAGTCCTAAATGTTTAAGAATTGTTTTTGCCCTGAGGATAGTCATATGGGTAAAACAAATACCCACAGGACCAATCCTGAGATTATGGCTGGATGGTAAAAAGGGGAAATGGAGAATATGGGTAATTTTCTAACACACTTATTTAAGGATTTCTGAGACAGGGAGAGCAACAGGATAAGACCGAGTCAAATGTGATCCATGTATAAGTAACACTACCAATTTTTAAAATTATTCTGTTTTATTCCAAATCCTCCTAACAAAAGTTGATATATATATATTCCCCAGTGCTAAGGTTGAAAATAAGTGCCATTTTTCATAACAAAAGTGGCGTGTTCTGCTTTTCAATTCCCCAGTGATAATTTCCTGATGCACCCCTATCTCTCCCGTGTCCTTCCGCACTGGTTGTCCAGGATCAGTTGTTTGAATTCACATGAAGGCAAGGTGATTACTTCTGGTCAGAAGGCAAAATCTGTGAGATTATGGCCTCGCCGCACAGATGAAGTAGCATGGCCCTGGGAAATTGCATGGTAAGGCCCTAGAAAAGGTGAGACAATGAAAGTTTAATATTTTTGTTTTTCCCAGTAGTTTCTTTTTGGATGTAGAGACAATGTTTCTTAACTGTCCTTTATTTAAAATTAGAGTGCTGATTGTAAGAACCTCTCCATGTGAGACTAATGACATGTTAGAGGTGTATTAATGCATCTATGTATATGAAGACAAAAGAGAAATCAGGGCTAATCAAAATGCCATCTATTTTAAGATCTTTCCTTGACCATGTAATGTCCTTCATAGATATTATGCATCATTAGTATTCATAACAATTATATATTTTTCTCAATGTTATAAAACATTAATTATGAGTAACAGCAATAAGAGAAAAAAAAATGAGGCCAAAAACTGAAAATAATCTTTAAAACATTTGCTAAATTCTAAACATCTATAATTAATTTTGGTGTCATTAACTATGTCAGCAAAGGGAAATTTTAAAATCAAAGTGACTTAAATCTTCATCTCTTTATTTGACAGTTCATGATACGTGGCAGTAGAGAGTCAAAGAAATTTCTGGAAAAACAGGATGTCAATGCTTAAATGTACTGAGCATAAATGAGTCAGGACATATTTTATCTTTGTTCTTTATATATCTTCACCCTCGGGGTCAAGTGTGATGTATTCAGAAATGACTTTGGGCATAACTTTGAACAAAATTAATAGGGAGCAGGGAAAACATGTATGTGTTGCAAAGTCTATGGGGTTGACTGTCTCTATCAAGCAAATGGATTGGGGAAGGAAGAAACAGTGTTAATGCCCCTACACTGTGGCCCAATAAATGTTGTATTGGCAATAATCACCAGTCCAACGTTCTCTATTCTGTTTAGCCACAGAAGGTATCTTTTTTTCATGACAAAGGTAATACTTAAGGATAATTGGACCCTGAATCTATAGAAAAGTTCCAGTGCTGTCATCTTGCTGATGGACCATAAGGAGACTGGCTGGTTGGCATTAGAACAGGCATCTAGCCTGAGGCTTTAAAGATAAATGTTTTATTTATTCATTTAAAAACTGTGTCTTAAGCACCTACTGTGTGCCAAAAACCATACCAGTTTTGTGGACACAACAAACAAACAAACAAGCAAACAATACATCTAAGTGTTGCCGGAGACTAGGCATTGCTTCTGTGTGGGAGGCTAGAAGGGACCTCCCTCCACCAGTGGATTCTTGGCAGTGAGCAGGAAAGAATTCAAGCATGAGCTGAATCAAAAGTAAAGCAAGGATAAGTTTATTCAAGCAGAGAAGAGGCAAGAAGCAGGCTACTCCATAGATAGAGCAGCCCTGCTTCTGCTGCGGTTTAAGTCTATTATTGGTGTCCCTTTAGTTAGGGGCCGTACATTCAAATTTATAGGAGGAATTTTCAGGTGTTTACTGGGAAAGGTCGGAGATTTCTCAGAAGGGCTTCATCGGCCATTTTGTGTCCTTTTATGATCTTTCCATTTTTGACAATGATGGCAGGGGTTGTGTCTTTTAGCATGTTAATAAATTGTAATGGGCATATAATGAGTCTTCGGGTCACTGCTAGGTGAAATCTGTTACCATGTTGGTTTTAGCTGGTCACAGCTGGTCTTAGCCAGCTCCCAGACCACCAACTGTCCATTTCCCCTTAGGGTCTGGCCATAAGTTTCAGAAGGGTGAAGATTCTTTGTCCTATAGCCAGCCCTACCTCTCATCTACCTACCTCAAAAGTCTCTGCCTTTATGAATCTCACAGTCAAATGGAAATTAAAAAACCAGAATTAAACATCTTACTAAGAAAAGTACATAATATGTGTGATGATGATAAGTGCTCTGCAGAAAAAAATAAAGCAGAGAATGGCAAAGGCAGCTGGAGGAGTGGAGGAATGATTTAAATCTGCCTTAATAAACGGTCTTTAGTGAGCTATGTGACATCTAGGGCAAATGCAGACAGAGGGATCTAGGACAGGCCTTGCACAGCAAGTTCTAGGGCAGCAAGAAGCTCAATGTGTCTGAATCAGAGTGAAGGAGTGAAGAGCAGGAATAAGGACAGCTAGTCCAGTACCACCCAGTGTCCAGAGCAAAGATGATCTTTTGCTTTGAGTGAGACATGGAGCAACTGGAAGGTATTGAGGAGTGTAATGATCAGATTTATATTTTAAAAGCATCATCAAAGTTGTGTTGAGAATGGATTGCAAGAAGGCAAGGGTAGAGGTTTAAAGCTTTTGCCATAATTTTAAGGAAGCTTAGATTGAGATAGAAGTGTCAAACTGGTGGGAAGGGATTTGATTCTCTATATATTTTGAAGCTAAAGTCAACAGATTTTTTGATGGACTGGATGTGGGATGAGAGACAGTGATAAGAATCAGGGATGATTCTGTGTGTGGTCTGAGCAACTGGAGGGATGGAGATGTCACTTAGTGACTGGGAAGACCCTGGGTGGGGCGGGGAGGGGGAATTAGTTTTTTGAGAAGGAATATTAGGAGTTCTGTGTTTGAGTATGCTAAGATTGAGATGTTTATTAGACTTTCTCTTCCTCCATGGCACCCAGCTAGATTAAATTTCCAAGCCTCCTTGCAGAGTTCAACTCTGTAGATGTGAACACAAGTGATACGCATCACATCTAGGCATAGCCCGTGAAAATCTCACAAGCGTGATACTCCAGTCTTTTTTTTTTGCCATTCTTAGAGTATTTCTAATTTAAGAAGACAGAACCACAAGATGAAAAAATGCTTGGTCCCTGAAGAACTAGGCCTAAGGCTACCTGCCAATTAGTAATGCTTATTATAGAATTGGGGAATAAGAAATAAACTTTTGTTGCGTTAAGCCACTGAGATTTGGTTATCTATTATAAAAATTAGTGTTGCACTAACTAGTATAGTATCCAGATTGGACATGCATATTTGGGAGTCATCAGTTTACAGATGGGTTTTAGAGTCATACAAGTGGATGTAATCCCCAAGGGAATGAGCATGAAATGAAAAGAGAAGAGGCCCAATAATTGAGCTTTGAGGACCCCAACATCTAGAGATCCAGGAGATAGGGGGTGAACCATCATAGAAGCCAGAAGGTGTTCCCAGAAAAGTAGAAGGACAACCAGAAAAGTGTGATAGCTAAGAAACCGCTTAAAGCAGAATTTCAAGGAGGAGGGAGTGACCAACTTTAAAATGAAGCTGATAGATCAAGTAAGGTAAGAAATTGGTCATTTATTATAAGTGTAGATACTTTTAGAGAAACAATGTTACAGTAGAATATAATATAGCCATGAAAACTGGGAAACTCTAGCCTCTTTAAAAAGAATACCCATTGCTTAAGAAGAGAAGAATGATATGGAAAATCTGTTTTTCTAAATGATAGCCCAGTGAAATATACATTTCTCATTTACTCCCTGAACCTTTAACTCTTCTATTAGCCAACCATTCCTTTTTCTTCATTTCTGAACAAGTAGGACCTGGAATAGAAGAGTTGTTTTCATTGCTTTTTTGCTTTGTCTATAATGTTGTTTTTCATCATAGGTATAGAAGAAAGAATGGATGCTTTAAATTGAGAAGTGGGAGATACATGACAGATATCAAATCCTTCATCCTATGTGTTGCATTCCAAGTTACATGTGAGGCTGTTACATTATTATTTTGTAATAATTTTTAAATACATCCATTTTCCATTTCTGTATACTTTTCTCCCTTCCTGTGATTTATTTTAGAGTGAGGAAAATCACTCTGAAAGTATTGCTCTAAGGCAATTAAAATGAATGGCACTGATCTTCACCATGGGAAAGACAGATGCCTTGTTGTCTACACACCCTATGTCATCTTATCTAGCTTTAGTTTTTGTTTATTCTGTTGTTTTATGCCTATCCAATGTATCTTCTCCTGTCAAATTATAAAAATTCTTTCAGATCATCCTGATACTTTGGAGACTCCCAAATCACCTTCTCAGCTTTTCCTTGGTGATATATTCTCTTTGTTCACATAAGCAAGAAATTCCAGGAGTTTTACATTTATTTGACAAATAAGGACATGGCAATTAACTCTGAAATGTATACACCGAATTCCCTGAGTCTACCATTCTGTCTGTATCCAATTAACTGGTTAACTGTGGTCCTGTGGAAACCATTCTAGCAGACTGCAGGACTGTGGAAAATCCAGTTCACGTTCGATAGACTGCTTTTCAATGAGCATTTCAGGAACAAATAGGTTTTTTCAAATAATGTTCCTTTAAAAATACTTTTGATCTAGTTTTTATTCTTTCAAAACGTGTTGCATGCTAAATTCTGAAGAGTAAGTAGTCAGGTTTTTAACATGTGCTCTTTGAAATACTGACATGACTCAAAGTTCTTATACCTGGTGCCATTTGCTAATGTCTTATGTATATAGTTTAAAATACAAAACTCATATAGCCTCAGTGCTAGGGAAGGCTCTGTAGCTCTGAGACTCTCTGGCAGTAGTGGCTTCCAATTAGCCTGTTTGGACTGAAACTGCAGGAGGAAGACGGAAGGGCAGGTATTATAAAATGGCAATAATGCCCATCAGTGGTTTCATCTCTTTGTGAAGATTGAATTTGAACAGTAAATGCCAAAACCAATATGAGTCTTCAATTCAGGGTTACAGAGGGGCACTGGCTCATTACTTTCTCAAGGTCCTCTGTGTTTTATGTCCCATTTCCAACAGAATACCAGATGGACAAGAATCTAGCATCAGGGCTTGTCTTTCACAAAATTATAATGACTGAACGGGCACTCAGGACCCAGGACCGGGACGTCCTTTCTCCTTTGTGCTCAGAAACACTAGTGTGCAAAATTATTTATTTTCCTCTTTTCCATCAAACTAAATTTTATTGCTTTCAGATAAAGTGACATTAAGCTGTTTCCTTAATTAAACAGAAACTTAAAATTGTAGATCCACGATGGAAATATCTACTATTTAGAAATTAAGTTTTGGACCTTGAATGATGATATTTATATAGCCAAGAAACCCCAAATGAAAAGGAGACATTGGATACAAGGAGTTCTTCCTCTCCTCCTAACCAATACTGATTCTTACAAGAATTATCAAAATGAGCTAATATCCTCTTGACCCTGGTTTAACTTTTATTAAATCTGCCATTTTATAATATTACAGGTATATTGAGTTATGAAAGAATCTATACTCTAACAAAACAGGCAATAGTTGTCCTTCTCCAGATGAATATTTATATTCTTCATAATTATATACTTCACCCAAAAGATTACAGCATATTCCAAACATACTACTCTGGGATTGTAAATGATGAATTAGTCAAATATGTTAAGATAGTATGGTAGGCAGAATATTGGTCCCTGAAAGATGTCCTCACCTTAATCTCTGGAACCTGTGAATATGTTACGCTGCAAAGCAAAGAGGATTTACTAATACAGATGGAATTAAGGTTGCTAATCAGCTGACTTTAAAATAGGGAGATTATTCTAGATTATCCAGGTGGGCCCAATATAATCACAAGCGTCTTTAAAGAGGGAGATGTGATTACAGAAGAAGGATCAGAGAGACACAATGTAGATGGCTTTGAAGATGAAGAATGGGGCCATGAGTCAAGGAAGGTGGGTAG